ACAAAACCAAGATTACACTATTGTTCCACTTTTAACTCCAAATTATAGTTGGGAAAGAGAAAATGGTAAAAGAGACCATAAAGTTTATTAAAGGCGAGTTTTAGTTCTTTGATTTTGGGGTTTTTCTCATGTGTGGAGAAAACCCATGAGAATAAAACATTTTTAAGGAATAAAAACGGTAGGGAGAGAAACCAAGTAGATTCTATTAATCATCTCAGAAAAATTCAGGAACTATGAGGATATGATTTCTTGAAGAGTCTATAGTCGATATAACTTTCTCCATTTGTATCTTTTGCTATTCTTGATTTCTTAAATTAGAAAGAAGGCTAACTTTGGACAGCAATCAGGAAGAGAAAAGCTGAGGAGACTGTCCTTCCCCTATGTCCTGATCAGATAGGCTTAAGCCAAGCATAATAAACCCCAAGGGATATAGGGAGCAGCAGATGCTCTCAAAGAGGAAAAAGTAGGTTGAGACCCTAAAGTCCACAGCAAAGCAAGAAAGAACATAAGTTGTAGGCCTAGCAGGATAACATAACATTTAAGCCCACAGGCCCAGAATCTTCAAACCCAGAGTTAAATCCCATCTCTACCACTTACAAAGCTGTATCACCTTGAATAAGTTACTCAAGCTCTTAAGCCTCAATTTTCTTATCTATAAAACTAAAAACAGTAACTACCTCTATGGTTCTCATGGGGATTAAACAGCAATTCTAGGCTTTGTGTTCAAGCATTGTTCACTCATTCATTCATTCATACTCAGCTATTATTCATTTTTATTATCAGCATTGTATGGTCTTTGTCCTGTAAGACCACATACTTCAGGCCCTTGAACTCCACAATCACACTGTCCAAGGCCCCAATTCTGTTCAAGATGATATAATGCCAGAATTCCAAGTGCCATGGTGAATACTTCTCTCATCCTGGACAACACTCAATGCTTTTCCAAAATCTCTTACTCAGTTCAAACCCAATAGTCTATTTAATACAGATTTCATTCCCTGTTATCACCTAAGGGAAATTCAAGTTAAGTGCGTGACAGAAATGAGCCCTGAGGCCAGAAAAGTCATAAACAGCCAAAATCACTCAATATCCTAACATGAACAGGAAAACGATATAGAACTCTGTCCCACAGGAGCCATCGTGGAATTTCCTGTAACAAGCCTCACCTGTAACTTCAGAGATGAATTCTTGGGACCAGTCAGTCTCATTATAATCCTGAGTTACATCCACAGCATCTCCAGCTGCAAGAAACTCCTGGGCCCAGTTCTCAGATAAGGCCAAATCTGCCACACCAGGGGCTTAAAAGAGAGAGAGAAAGAGAACTAAGAAGAAAAACACACATTATGCCATCATGCCTAAAGAACCCTATTCCTTTCATCTCTTTCTGCACTTTAGTTCCCCAATGCCATCAGCATCCAGTGGAACCCCCTTGCCCCTGCCTACACAGAAAACAGTCTTCCCTACCATAAGATTCTGGACTCACCTCTCTGGGGAGCCTGGCGGAAGTTTGACTGTTCAATCTCCTGCATTTCTGCCAGGAGGTCATCCATCTTGAAAGTCTGGGGGGCCCGGGATACAAGTGGTACATTCTGATCCTGCAGGAATTCAGCCACCAACTGTCAGAAGAGAGATGGTGAAATGAATCTATGTGGTCAGGAGGTCCCAGCAAGAGACACGACCTACTGAATGGGGACACTGATGTCAGATATAAGGAAAGAAAAATAGGGC